GCACGCCTGCTTCTTGATTCTGCCTTTTTCCACGATCTTAAACAGATAGTCACTGTTCCCACTCGAGTCACAGAGACAACTCAGTCAATCCTAGACCTTATTTTTATCAAAGATTTTCCCGGCGACTGTACAGTCTCTACCGCAAATGGAATCGCCGATCACAAACTGGTAAATCTAAATTTGCTTATCAAAAAAACAACACCAACGCCCCCCCTTAAGACTTTCATTGATTTTTCAGCTGCAGACGATGAATCAGTTCTTGATTGTTTACATTTTTCTTTCACGAATTTTGAGCGTATCGATGACGTCTCTCTTCTATGGGAAACGTTCAAAAGCCTCGTCACGTCCTGCATAAATCAGTTTGTTCCGATCCGTCGAAAACCAATCAGAAAACACAATCCATGGATTAACCGTGAGATTATTCACCTTAAGAGGCGTGTCAAACGCAAACGAAAGGCAAAAAATAAAAATAGCTCAGAGCTGAACGTCCTGAATGATGAATTACTCAGTAAAATACGCATCGCACGTGATAAATATTATGGGCAAACTCTTACTTCCTTTTTATTAGAATCACCTCAAAAGTTTTGGCGTTTTCTATCTGATACTAGTGAACGAGTCGAACAACTAAGAATTAATGGTATTGTGTCAACTAACGGTAAAGAAATTGCAAATGAGTTCAATGCCAGTTTTCACAGAGCGTTTACTACACCCGATTCCCTTTTGATTGAGAATGACAATTATGCCTCTTCATCCGCTTCTGTTAAAATGCCAGATGTGGTGCTCAGTCATGAGGGCATGTTTTCGCTTTTGTTGAATATCAATGTAAAGAAATCATGCGGTGCTGATGCTATACCTAATTCCTTTCTTCATCGCTACTCGGAAATAGTCTCCGAGTACCTTTACTTGCTTTTCAGTGCCTCACTTAATCAATGTTCCTTACCAGCAGATTGGCTAACGGCTAGAGTAGTTCCAGTATTTAAATCAGGTGACAAATTAGACGCCGGAAATTACAGACCTATTTCTTTAATAAGCACATGTTGCAAGTTACTTGAGCACATAATCGCTAACCATATATCTCGTTACCTAGAGTCGACCAATTTTTTTGACAAGAACCAACACGGATTTCGTAGAAACGTTTCCACAACGACTCAGCTAATATCTGTAGTCCACGATTTTGCAGCCGCGATGGACAATCGTCACCAAATCGACGCAATTTTTTTAGATCTATCTAAGGCGTTCGATCGCGTGCCTCACAATCTGCTCATTGATAGATTGAAAGAGGCAGGACTTCCTGATAGGCTGGTTCGTTGGATACAGGCCTATCTACAAAACCGCTCTCAATTCGTTGAACGTGATGGCTCTAAATCTGATAACCTACAGGTCTTGTCGGGTGTACCACAGGGCTCCGTGCTCGCACCGTTACTTTTTTTGATTTATATTAACAACATTTCCAAAAATATTGATGAATGTGTTAGTGTTAAATTGTTCGCGGATGACTGCGTAATGTATAGCCTTGTCAAAAGTTCTTCCTGTCAGACTACATTGAATGAAAACCTTTGTAAACTTGCGGACTGGTGCGACCTTCAGAAAATGAAAATTAACTTCTCTAAAACCGTCTCAATGACACTGACTACTAAAAAAAAGCCCCTTTCTTACATTTACCATATTGGCAACCAGTGCATTCAAGAAGTTTCCTCTGTAAAATACTTAGGTCTCACAATTAAAAACAACCTAAAATGGGACCAGCACATCAACAACATATGTGCCAAAGCGTTCAGAAAGCTATGCTTTCTTCGAAGAAAACTCAAAGGGTGTCAGTCGGCTGTGAAACTTGTAGCTTATCGTTCTCTGGTTCGCCCAGTTCTAGAGTACGCCTCTATTGTGTGGGACCCGTATTTGGTGAAAGATATTGCGGAGGTGGAGCGGATCCAACGTCTTGCTGCAAGATTCATCCTATCTGACTACCGCACTTCATCATCAGTAACTAACTTGTTAAAGCAGCTTGACCTCGAACCGCTCCACCTTCGCCGACAAATCTCTAGGCTGAAGTTTCCTTACTTACTTTATAACAATTCATCTGGTCTATCAAGTGACACTTATCTTCGCCCTGTGCCACAAAGGTCAGCTCGACTAAATCATTCCAAAGTCATATGCCCATACTATGCCAGAACTAACCTTTTTCAGAAGTCATTTTTCCCTAACACAATTGAACAATGGAACTGTTTGCCGTCATTGCTTATGGAATGTACTCATGTCAACCAATTCGATCATTTGTTAACTAAACTCCTTTTGTAACCCTCCCCTGCTTGGGCAGCGCCGCTGCCTGCAGTATATGTAAATAATAAAAAATAAATAAATTCAAAAACATATGGTTGATGAGCACCCGGCAGGCTGCATCATTGCGTGGCCACAGGGCCTCGGCTGACAGTCATCAGTTGGTTTAATGGCGAGACTGTACGATCAAGGTAGTACATTAGAGTAGTGATGCAAAACTATCGATAGTACTATCGACAGTCAACTATCGAAAAACTATCAATAGTACTATCGACAGTCGACTATCGATATTCGACTATCGAAAAACTATCGATAGTTTTTATCGATAGTACTATATATAGTCCACTATCGAAAAACTGTCAATAGTACTATCGATAGTCGACTGTCGAAAAACTATCGATAGTACTATCGATAGTTGACTATCGGAAAATTATCGTTAATCGACTATCGGAAAACTATCGATAGTCGACTATCGTAAACCTATCGATAGTACTGCCGACAGTTCACTATCGATAGTTTTGCGACACTAGTAGTTAGCGTTGCTCCCTCTTCTCTTTTTCTCGCTTTATTAGAGCGCTGCTCTTAGGGGCCCGTTTCAGGCTTGAGCGGCGTCGGCGTAACCGCGCGGTGCATTATGGGTTTATGGGAAATGTCCCATAATGCACCGCGCGAGTCCCCCCCCCCCCCTGGGTCACGTGACCTGGGGTGGTCACGTGACCCTCGATGACGTTAGTGATGACATCACCGGCATCCGTACCGTCATCATCACTGATGACGATGCGATGACGTCATCGTCACTGATGACGCCACTGATGACGTCACCGGCATCAGCATTGTCATCGTCATGATCACTCATGACGATGACGTTGCGATGACGTCATCGTCGCTGATGACGTCATCGGTATCCGCATAATCATCGTTGACGTCACAGATCGCGTGACCTAGGAGGGTCACGTGACGATGCCGATGACGTCATCAGTGACGTCACTGATGATGGCATCGTTATCGTCACGTGACCCTCCTAGGTCACGCGTCCCTTCCCCCCCCCCCGTAGGTCACTTGACCCACCCCCATTATCCTTTCCTCCTCCTCTTCAAGGGCTGCGCTCTAATTCGGCGTCACAGGGAGTTGTAAACTGCTTTCACTTCTTTTGTTTTCAAATGGGACACCAATTAGCCCAAGCACTTCTTTGGCTCAGCTTTCAGTGATGACGAAGACGGGATTTTGGGCGAAGAGAGGACGAAGGGAGGCGAGCGGCGGTGCGGCAACTGTGTTCGCTCTAGTAATGCAAAACTATCGATAGTATCGATACTCGCCAGAAATCTGACTATCGATAGTAAAAAACTATCGATAGTGCTATCGATAGTCGACCATCGAAAAACTATCCATAGTATTATCGAGAGTCGACTATCGAAAAACTATCGATAGTACTATCAATAGTCGACTATCGATAGTTCTGCGATACTATCAATAGTTTTTCCAAAACTATCTATAGTATCGATAGTCGCTTTATCTATAGTTTTGCATCACTACATTAGAGGCAGGTGCAAGACAATTCAAAGGGGCACTATGGAGGGTTTTGGGATCGTCTATTTATGACTCAACCTGGCAATATACGTGCTCGAGGTATGCCGCAATTCGAAAAATTATAATCATGTGCGGCCTATTTCAGTACTGAAATTGTGATCAAAGATTGCGACATCTCAGGCCTATAGATAGTGCCACGTAATCCAGCTGGATGTGGGCGAATGACGAGTGGCCCGCATGAGCGATGGCATCCTGTGCGGATGCCATCGCTCACGCAGGGCTGGTCGGCTACTCTCCGCTCAAGAAGCCATCATTTGCGATTGGCTGACGAGCTTGTTGGTTGTTCAACCACAGTCTGCTGGGTCTGGTGGATTCATCTATCAGTCCACTGGAGTCACTTGGGTCAGTGGCGACACTCCCCCCCCCTTCCCTCCCTCTGCTCGTTGCCCGTCGCTAAGACCTCTATGCCCGCCGCGACACTCCCTAGAGTGTTGTACCTGGGGTGGTCCCCCCTAGTGCCACTGTGTCAGTTTGACTGTCTGTTCACACAATTTTTTCGATGTGCAGCGGCTTTGGACTTCGAAGTTTCTCGAAATTGGCTCATTCACATGTACAGCTTCACGCACAACAACGACATAACGACTTGCATGTATCTCGCAACGTTTTTAATGTCTGTGCTGGTGAGATAGTGTTTTCCTGCCAATAATATGAAATACGTGCAGTGAGAAGACACAATCCACTTACTTAAAAATTGACAAAGGCCCCTATGACAACGTCAACGTCGCGGGTCGCCAGTTCATTCCTTCACTAGGTTCGAAGGTTGACTGATTTAGTGGCTTTTGCTGATGCCCAGCAAGTGTTGCATTCAAAATAAATGGTTATTTTTACTAATTTCAAACATAAAGCATACCTTGTAATTAGCCGCCTAATTGCACAAGCAATGTTATTCCTAGTGGCCCTAAGTCTGGTAAGCTAATGACAAAATTAAAAGTCCTAATACAAGTTCCCGTTTTTGAATGTTCTGAACCAGAAAAAAAAAAGAATAAAAACTTTGCTTTTGACTATTTTTGCTATGTCATAAGTATCATAGTTTACTTTTATTTGAAACTTGACGTTGTGATGCTAACAGAAATAGAAAATAGAAAAACTGTTTGTTTGACTCATGTATTTTCATTGCCCAGATTTGCAAACTGCTGCTAGCGAACTGCTTCGGTTCCGGGAGGAGCTCCAGCAAGACAGGGCAGCAAGAAATTCCGAAAAAGCTGAACAGTCTGCAAACGCTTGTCAGGTAATAGTTCCTTGGGACCTATTGTATACTGGTTCAGGATAATTGGAGGATGGTTTCTGTGGTGGAGTTCATGAATTACTGGGTACAAAGACCATATTGAATATGGGTAGGGGATGACAAATTGGTAAATCTACTCAGAGTTTCTCCTGGAAGTTTCTGTTCATAATCAGTTGCAGTGCCTGCAGTTTTCACTGTTGGCGGAAGGCAGATTCAGGAGGCTACATAGGGTTCCCATAAAATGAGCTTCCATTCATTATTCGGTGTTTTCGATTCAGACTGTATGCCGAATTCCTTTTTTTTCTGTTCAGCTAAAGAAAGTCACTATTTAGGCCTGTGGCACATGCGGGGGTGGGATGAGAGTTCTTCACTGGCTGACATCTTGGTACAGTTTATTATCAACAATTTATCACACTTGCAGTCTCAATCAACACATTTTCTGGAGGCAGTGTATGGGCTTGTCTCATGGCTGAAATTTGTGCTCCCCTAGGTGATCAGATTTTGTGTGTCGAGTTCACTGTCCTCGCATGTCAAAAGATATATAATCTTCTGTGAAAAAAAAATTGATTGGAGCAGTATTTGCGGCGTAAGATGCAATTGAAAGTGAGTCGTACTCCTCTCCATTTTTCTCTCTTGCGCTTCTCCGAGCCATTCGGAAAAAAGGTAAGTCCCGCCCATCACTGTTGGTTTGGCTTGGCTGCTCGGCTGCGCACCGTACGAGAGCCTCATGTCTGACCGCAGCAACCTCCGACTACACCTCAGTTGGTGGTCAAACGAGGCCTGGCGAAGTTCTTGGCTATGTTTAAAGGCCCATTCGAGCAGTCTGGGTCACTCTGTTGGGTGATGTCACCTGAATAGAGCAACGTTGGATTCGTGCAGGTTTTCAAATGCCAGGGCACAAAATCTTTACTGCAGAGCTGGATTGAGAAAGTCTTGGAACACAGCCCTTTTTTGTTACAGTATGACTTGGAATGGAAGTGACACTCCTGTTATACTCTTGTGAACAGTATGGCACTCACTGGATGGGTTGGACCTTAAACATAAAAATGTAGTTTAAAAGGTTATGGCAGCATACACAGATTTTGTACCCAACATCACAGACGTCCATTAACCTTTCAGCTAAGGGGAAGCTACCAACTGGCACCCAATGGGTCCCGATATCTCTGGGACCAGAGAAATTTGGTGCACACGAAAAGTATTGCACCATAAATATTGCTCCAATCAAGCTCTTTTTACGTGCCTGTTCATTCAGGCTGTTCTAATTTTTTTTTTTATTGCTTCAGGCATACCCGCCAACTCTCCCGGATTACCCGCCAACTCTCCCGGGTTGTACGATTGACAGGAAAATCTCCCGAAAAGTATCCGCCATAGTTCTTTTTTTTTGTGTGTCGTTTCATTGCTATAATCATCACGCATGTGTCATTGCGAGTTACTCGAGAGCAGGTTTAGGTTACTCCGGCGGGTTACCACGTAACAACTCGGAGCAGTAGCGTAAAACGAGGGTAGATATTCAAACGCCAAGGTACCAAACCTTTACTTCTGAAGTTAGAGCGCATATTTGAACACGGCTTATATGACCATGGGTGCGCTATGCTTCAGTTGGCTTTGTCAGGTCGTCGAGTGAGGTGTGGAACAACCGAACTACTCTTCGTGTTTTCCCGAGTTTAGTTGGAACCACTGATCTGTTGGAACGATCGATGGCACTTTCAAAAGCCAGAGAGAAGTACTTGCAAGTATTTCTGAGATCATACGCGACCGAGTTGCCGTGCTTTGTTGCTTTGCGGAAAGCTGACAAGTATGGATTGTGTACCATGTGCGCCTATGATGTGTGAGCGTTACGCATGGCGGCAAGCTTGACATCGAGATACACATCGCTTCACGAAAGCATCAGAACCATTCTCGTGCCGTAGAAGGGCAGGGCACCACTTGCAGTTTACGCCAAAACAACTGCGAAGACAGTGTGATTCGCGCAGACTGCCTCTTCACGGGGTTTCTCGTCAAACTAAAAAAAAAAAAGATAATGTCCCCCTCCCCCCCCCCCCTTCCCCCTGTTTTCCGAGATTTGATTTCTCTGAACTTGGCAGGTACTTACAAAACTTAGAAGCTATGCATCTCTACCATGACGCTCAGGCAATGATAGTAGTCTTAAGAGTAACTTTCATCAGACCTTTTGAATTGAATGAGAACTTTTACAACATCATTCACTCTGATTACTTGCAGCAGGAAGACGACGAGCAGGTTGACCTGGGAGGATATAAAGTCAACAAGGCCGTGATTGACATGCTTCAGCTAGGACCGGCGAAAACAGCAACGACTTATGCTCGAGAACTCCTCAGGCAGGTGTTCACCACAGAAGAGCTGCTGGGGAAATCAATAACAGGAAAGCAGTCCAACGCCCACAAAGAGAAGGAGGCAAGGCCGCAGTTGGACCCTGTTAGGGTCAACGCAGTTGTCAGTGAGTATTACTTTTTTGTGGTTTTGAGCATGGAAAGTGACCAGTGACATGTAGCAAAATATTTCCTCAGGGCCCCTGCAACACCTTTTTGGCTGGTTTGACACTTGCAGCGAGTCTGAGGTCAGATGACATAGTAATACGGAGGAACAATTGTTTTTTTTTTTTTTTTACAAAATTGGCATTAGTTTAAAAGTTGGGGGCAAATTAAAATGACCAAATCTAGCAAGAAAGGTACTACCTCTGACATATTAGATCCCTCAATGTTGGGATCGTGGAGCTGCTCCTCGGGGGTGTGTCAACTATACTCGTTTTTACCTCAAGAAAAAAGTGTTTTGCGCATAGTTCATGTGCAGTGCAAAGTAGTCTCTTTAAGAGTTTGGTCGTCAGAAAACAAAAAAATTTGTTTTTGCATTTTAAAATTTTAAGGGTTGAAAAACAAATAATAGACCTTATGTGAATATAAACGTTTCTCAATCCGCCACATAATAGAGAAAATTAGTAGCACTCTGCGTGGACGAGGACTTTTTTTCTTACGGTTCTTGGGGTGAAAACGGGTATAGGTGGTGTTCTCATTGTCTCCACAGTTTTCACTCTAGTTTGTTTTTTTATCACTCTCAAAGCTTGATGAGAACTACTTTCATAAAGAATTGGGAGGGTTATCACTATCATACTTATTTTGTGCTCACAGGTAAACCTTTGGTAACTCTTGCCAATCAGGAAGCCAGGTAAGTTAACGTCGTCAGCCATGCACGTTTGGCACCACGCAGCACCGCTGTGCATACAATTGTTCTGAGCTCTGTCAAGCTAAAATATAATACACTATTATTTTGTGGTTTAGTCTTTGCTCCCCGTGTCACCCAAACCATTAAAAAGACGGGGAGTGCAGAAAAAAAAAAGCAGATGCTTGAATATTGTTGGAAGGGCCCTCTCAGATGATATTTAGGGCCCCTTGTAATTTTTAGCTTCTGCCTTTGTTTCGCTATCAGTCTTGTTAGTGGTTTGGGAGACTCGAGGAACAAAGACCAAACCACAAATTAATGTATCATATTTTAACTTGACATGGCACAGAACACTTGGACGTACGCTGGTGCTGCGTGCTGCTGAACGCACACAGCTGATAACATTAACCTACATGGCTTCCTGATTGGCCAGAGCCATTAATATTCCTTTCTGAACACGAAATCATAAGTATGATTGTGTTTTCATTCCAATTCTTTTTAAAAGTATTTTTTATTGAGCTTTGGGAGCGATAAAATTAAATAAGTAACAGCCCCTCAAATTGAGCCAGCAACCAAGCGGAGCGGCGCAACAACAGCATGTCTCGCGGAACTCATGGAGTGGCAGCCTTTTCAAAGCAGGTTGAGCTCTCATCCCTCACTTGCTCTTCAAAATGGGGGGGGGGGGAGCTTGCCAAGGCTAGAGTCCCTGTAGAACAACAGTATGTGTGGGTCTTCAGAGAGGGTGCACTTGCTTCGCGCCTAGCATGGGCAGTGCCATGTATGTCGTGGTTGTAGTGATTTTAATGTGCTTATAACTTCCAAAATAACATGAACTTTGCCAACTCGATTGTTTCTCCAAGTTGCCACATTGTCCGATGTCAGTTTCGGCGCAAGTTTCCGACCACTCAAAAAGTAACTGGAGGGGCCTTGCATTGGTTGTGATAATAGAAGAATATACTTTGCATACATCCTGAGGTTAACTTTAGTACAATGTGTTCAGAGTTGGTTCCAAAGTGGTGGTGTTGTCTTCTGATGACTGGTACTTCTGCTAAGAGGAACAGTTTTGACTGTTTTTTTGGGGTTCAATTTAGACAGATACTACTGTAGATGAAAAAGATGTTCTACTTTTTTACATTATGAGCTACATAAATAATGACTATGTTGGCCCATATGATGTTAAGTCTCCTTGGATGCAGCTATTGAAAGCCTAACTGGATGTAGTTTTGATATAGAGTCCTTCCAGATGTTTAGAAGTGCCATACAAGTGCCTTGCAGCCTTATGACCATATTCTCAAAACTTTCCCTGTCTTTCTTTTTTAACTATCAGTCATGCATTGATAGTCCACTATTTATTCAGTAAAAAAATGCTTCACCTATTTCAAAATTTGCCCTAGTATGACCAAGTTTCTGTAGGGTGGTTTTCTATATGAAGGCTATCGCTATTAGCGTGCACTATGCTCTACGTGCGATTGTTCGACGTGTGGAACAGTAGTAAATATTGCATTGTTTCATAGTTAGCGAAGGTTTCCATATACAAGGTGTTTTTTCTTGAAAATGCGGACCAAATTGCTCCAACGAAAACTGCATCGCTCGGAAAAGAAGGTTGATGTCAAGTAGAAAAAAGATAAACATAAAGAAAATTTAAGTTTTCTTTTTCAATTTTACAGAAAGTAACCTTTTATTTCTTCACTTCAAAGTTATAGTTTCAATTTGAAACTTGCTGGGCATCAGTGAAAGCCCCTTTGTCATCTCCTTTTAAACAGGTAAAAAGCATGCGCAGCATTTTACTAAGTTTTGAAAAACCCAGTTTTGATGCATTCTCTGGTTTTATTTTTTTATCCACGCGCACCTTGGCGGCAGCCGCCCTGCCCTCCTGCGGTTGAAGCGGGGAACTAAGTCTGGGTGCTTCGCCCATGTCGCTTTTGCCTGCCTCTCCTCTCGTAGAAAAAAGATAAGAGTAGTGCGTGCGCACGTCCATGCGAAATGCTGCAGCTTGCTCTTCAAATGAACATGGCATTTGCAAGATTGAGCTTTGTCTTTTGGGTTCACTTCTAGCATGCTGAGAATGATTTGAGTTTCAAAGTGCAATGTGACTGAAAGACGTCAAACACTCCAGCTCCACGCTTTTGCTGCGGCAGGGCAGGATGGCTGCTGCCAATATGTGTTTGAATACGTCAGAATTGAAGAATTTTTCGAAACTTGAAATTAGGGGTGTGCTTTATACCTGTCCAAAAAAGCTGATATGGGTATTTTTGATTCTGCCCAGCACGTTTTCAGATTTCTAAAAAAATATGTATGTAAAAACTTCATTTTTCTGAACATGGAAGTTTTTTCTAAATAGGCCCTTGGGTGCACATCAACACGACATCAGTCTTTCTTTTGTGCGACGCATAGTTTTCGCAGGAGCGATTTGGCCTGCATTTCAGAAACAACATGTATTGTTAGGGGAACATTAAATACGAACAGAGGAGAGTGTGGCTTGCGGTACAGGCTGCGCTGCCTGGAAGTGAGCCTAGGGCAAGGGTGTGTGGCCTGCCCCGATGTGTATATGTCCCTCGCTCGGCTCTTCCCAAGCTCCGGCATTGCGCCTCTAGTGTGCTGAAAGCGCGCGCTCAGCCAGCACGCGCTTTAGCTGCCTGCTACTAGTGGTGAGCTTCCTTGTGCCGCACGCGTCGAGTGAGAAAATATAGTGGTAATAGCTTTCAGTGCACTAATAGGCGCAATGCCGAAGCTTGGAAGCAGCAAGCGAGGGGCATATACACATCGGAGAAGGCCACGCACCCTCGCCCCCAGGCCCACTCCCAGGCGGCGCGGCCTGTACCGCAAGCTACGCGCTCCTCTGTTTGTATTTCATTTTTCCCCGATAGTACGTCTTTATCCAGGTATCAACGAAAGTCGGGAATTTTGTTCTAAATATTTGAAGGACAAGCAATGAATTTCAGCTGGTGGCGTTCGCTCTGCACGCGACACCCTGCAGTCAGGTGTCTAAAGTCACGCACAGAGTGAAAGCCGCCAGGCAGAGTTCTTGCTTTCTCATCAACTATTCACTCCACAGAGTCCAATGCAAAAATGCCACAGACATAGACAGAGAATTACGTTAAACTAATGTTTTATCCTGGCCAGTATGGGAAAACACCACGTTGCATGGCCCCTGGTACTACCAACGCCACCTGCCGGATGCTTAAATGCTGGGCACGAGAGTTTGTTGCGCATCAGCAAACTCCCTCTTCATCTAAGATCATAGCGGCTGCTGTCTGGCGTCCGCACCGTCATGAGTCCACCGCTCCGCCCGGTGTCCAGAGGGTAGTATACATAGTGCCGTTTGTTTTTGCATAGCGTAATTTATATTTATATCGCCACAACAGTAGCTCGTCATGCAGAAAATGCGGAATGTGAATCCCAAGTCAATTCAGATTGTTAGTAGGTGGTTCTATATAATTTCTTTTTCTTCTGTGGTACCTCCCACAAACACTTCCATAGAAGCATGTGACATGGCATGCTGAATCGCCCTTCAAATATTGGGCAGCGCAAAACACCGACCATTAACCATTACAGTGGATGCACGAGATGCTAGCAGATGATATTAGCGGACGGTCAAAATGTGGCTCGCCATAATGGATGCAAACTTCGTCCCCAGCATGCATTCAATTTTTGGAGCATTTGGCAGGTGGCACTGCCAAATGCTCCTTGTATCTCACATTGGCCAGGATAGTAGAGTTACCACAAACAAAAAAATTCAGTTTCTACTAAATTTTCTTTCGGTGTAGAATAACTTTAAAAAAGTTATTATTGTTGTGGGGTCTATACGCGGCTTGCACATGACACACTTCCATCCTTCTTGCTGGTGTCTCAAACCTGCTGTTAATGCAGTGGATGCTGAGCTCACTCACGATGCTCGTTTCCTGTTTGTAGAAGTAGCACAGTAGGGGCTACGCTGCCAGGCACTTGGCCACCAATGTCTGTCTTAAAGACATCAGTGCAAGGTCCCTAGTGAATTATAGCACCAATTTTAAGGGGTGAAATATTGTTTGCCACTGCCTTGTTTGAGTGAAACCTAGCTAAAGTGCTGATATCAGCTATGTTGCCGTGTCAGCTATGCTGCACACTTCATGTTTGGAAGAAAGTCATTGAAGACAACATACAATTTTTTTTAAATCCTACTTGAATGTTTTTGTTTGAGTGTTTGTTTTGAGTGTTCTTAAATGCTCTGTTTTATCCAATTTCTAGTGGCTAGCAATGTTACACTGCAATTTATTTTGACCTTTCGGGCCTTTCGGGACCTTTCGGGCCTTTGACCTTAAACCTACTGGGTTTTCCATGTCATATCGAGTAATGATAGCTTGAGTCATATTTCTTTTTTATTCTGGTCAAAAATATATATACAAGCCACATCCTTGAAGGAACAGCCAGCTAGATATGAAACCTGTAGTTATTTTAGTTTTTGCAGAAATCTAAAATGGAGAAGCTTAGGGTGAAAACTGACATTATTTCAGATGTTATTTTGTATCTGTTATTTTTCGACAAACATATTCACATCCTTTTAACTTTTGTGCTGTAATATACAAATTGACGACATTAAGCTCACAAAGTATTAAGAAGATTAGACTGACTTTTGATGGTAAAATGACAATTAAACATGCCAAGAACATCTTTAAAATTTTCTGAAATTGTCAGATGAAAACGTTTTACGTTACATAGTAAAACTTAACAAAATGTGTGCCATCAATGAACTTCACGAATATATGAAGCATTGTCTTCCATCTTCTATTGTACTTTCAACTTAATTCGGGAATACAGCTATTTTCTCGAAATGTGGCGACATTGTGCTTATAAATTTAAAATGAAGGGACAGTTGAACGATAAATTCACTGGTTGCTCATTGCTATTTGAAGCGAGACGGGGCTAAGAACAAAAAAATATAGGGCTAAATTTCAGGGAATAAGCACTCTATGTTACGTATGCAACCAAGAAAGGGGACCTATGGAGCATGTCATTTTAAAGTGCACGGGGCTTTGCCCCATCTTCTTATGGGGGTGACATGATGATGGATTCGGAGGAGGCACTGAGTTTGTGGACATGGATGGAGGAATGGATAGGGAGAGAATTGCGGTAACAAAGAGGAGATTGGAAGATTGGTGGAAAAGATCTAGGGAGGGGTGAAAAAAAGCAGGTAAAAATAAGCACTGAAAACACTTTAAAGGGGGAGGGTTGTTTTAGAACAATATTTACACAAAATTTAAAAATGGATGATTGTTGGACTAGGAGTGCAAGCTGGCACAAGATACAAAGGGTATAGCCATTGCCATCCATCCATCCACCCAAAACATCATCTTTATTTGCTTTAATCTTTGTTAAACCATTCTCAATAACTTGGACAGCTCAGTATGGTACAACATGTCATAGCATCTGGCCTCCAGATGAGAAAATAGATCACAAGCCTTTGCCGAAAATGGGCAGACTTGTCCTCATTATAAGGGCTGTGCTACACAGCGTCACCTCTGATGAGGTACTTAGAAGTGCAAAAGGCAGGGAATGTTTTTTATAGTAATCAAAAACTGTGCTCCATAGAAGTCTCTAGGTCAAATTTGCACTTGCCATTTGAGAATGAAGGAGTCAATGAGCCCTAAACTAGTTGTAAACTGTTGTTGACACAGCATTATCTTAAAATTTTGTTACATGCTTGCCGATAACAGCAAGCCTTTTTATGTCATATCACTATTGGTAACATATCTATATTTTTGCATTTTCAGAATACACCTGCAAGAAATTTCACCTTTTGAAAGAAACCACAGTGCGGTCGTCACTGTCGTCTATGCTAAACAAGACGAAGGAGTCCAGCCCTGAGTAAAACCACATCATGAGAGCTTTGACTGCTTTCAAGAAAATAAAGGTGATTGAAATGTTGCTTTCATGTTTTATCATGTTTATCATATATATGAATGCGCCTTTTACAAAAAAGCAGGCCAGCACGGGTATAAAAGGCTGGTATATTATCCCTTTTTATTAAGAGCTAAAGAAACAAAAAAAAACGAGCATGCCTGCTGAAGGGAGAAATTGATCAAGCCATATGGCTCCTGTGCAAAGAGCTGAAAAAAAGAAGGATGGCAGCTATAGCATGCTGGATAGACACACATAGAGTAAACCATAGAAATAGCTTAGCAGACCATACAGGGAGACAGACTTGTACACGTTACTGAAAAATAGTAAGGAATTACATTTACAATTACTCAAGGCTAAATTGTAATTTATTACAATTACAATTACCTTCCTATGAAAGTAACTGACCGTTACCCCAAAAAGTAATCCGTTACTTTCGTGGCGTTACTTTCAACATTATTGTCCTCAAGTAAGAAACAAAGGGAAAAGGGTTATTCAAGTTCTTAATGTTGCAACCTGTTCCATTTAGTGACCTTGAGTATTTTGAGCAACAGCAGGCTCTCGAAAGTCTCGTCAGACATTTTGCGTTATCTCTTACTCAATATGTCGACTGCTACGCTGAACACCATTTGAACCGAGGCACTGAATGGGAGTGCCATATTGTTCCTCGCGAATGCTTCATGCTCTGCATTGAGCTTTTTCAGCGAAGCAAGGGAAGTACTATTTACCTCGAATGTAGAGCAAAGCTTCGTCGTTTCAGCCGTTGCCTGCTATTCGAGAGATTTATTAGATCCTTCCCATGCCTCCGAAACCCGCAATAACGGTACCCGATAACGATATGATGCATACGCAAAGACGGCGGCGAAGTATCGGATATCGTTATCGGAGTCATCGGACCGATCTGGTAAAATTCTCCATTGTCTAAATCGCGAAGCTGTGGAAGTCATCAATAGCAAAACATAGTTGTAACAGTAAGGTGATAATTATATAATAAATAAGGTTTGGCTCGATATTCTTCTTCCTTTGGTTCTGAACAGTTCGAGCCTCACTTGAGACGTTGGTGAATAACAAAAAAAAGTTTCCAGTGTATAAATATAAGTAATAAAAGAAAAAGAAGGACACTCATAACAACAATTAATTAGAACGTCGGTTAAAACAAGTAAATGTAAACGCACGTTTGCCGTGTGTACCTTTCTCGGTGCTGCTCAAAAGCGCACGGAGCACGAACCGACTGCAGTTTACTCCGGTGTACTCCAGATAGGCATCCGCTGATGCCACGGGCAGCAAAGAGCAGAGTACTGAGTAAGCCGCGCTATGGCCCACTCACGAATTTCACTCTCCCCTCAAGCCCAGAATATCAAGTCTACGTCAGCCACCCTTATGTTTTATTTGTAAAAATATCTGCTTGAGATAAGATGCGTCCTGCTGGGGCAAAACAGGAAGAAGCAGAAACGAAGATTATTACCATTTTCTAAGTGCTCGCAAAAAGCTGACTCACAAAAAGGGTAGGGTTGTCTCGTGTTGTGATATTATGAAAATGGTCGTAGTCAATATAACCGGGAAGGACATTGCTGATTCTTTTCAGTGCCGCCTCGAGCTTCTCGAAGAGGCGCACAATCACTTGGTGTCCTCCTCTCCTTGTCTTCGATCGCAAAGAAAAAACAAAGGGACTAAAAAAAAGCGGAAATGACTTGCCCCCTCCCCCCACCCCTCTTTTTGTTTTTTGTAGAAATGTTCATTTGGATTTTTTACATTGTTGTTAGGGTCTAAAAAAAATAGAATAAGGGGCTTGGTGTTGCAAAAAAAGGCTTTGCGGAACTGAAGAGTGCCAAGCCTCCCTTTGCGCTGGTCAATTCGCGTGAGTGTTCCTGCGCTCAACATCACAAAAGTGAAAAAAAAAAAAAACTTTATTTAGAAAAAGGGGGAGGGGGGTGGTTCTGACAAAAAATGTAACGGATTACAAGGAATCCGTTACTTCAAAAATGTAAGGGAATTACTTTAAAATTACTCTAGAAATTATGTAATTATTCCGTTACTAAATTACTGATAAATGTAAGGGATTACAAGTAATTTCGTTACTTGTAACGGATTACGTACAAGTCTGCAGGGAGATAGGCGGCTAAGAAAACCAAAGGAAAAGCAATAGCATACTGGTTAAAGAGACCCATGATGCAAGCTACGGACATATTTATAGCAGACCATACAGACAGCTATGGATAGCTAAACAAACCAAAGGAAAAGCTGTAGGCAGCTATAGCATGGTGGTATAAAGAGACCTATAGGGCAAACCATAGAGGTATCTATAGCAGACTATACAGGGAGATATAGGCAGCTATAGCGCAGTGGCTAAAGAGACCCATAGGGCAGGCCATATAAATATCTGTAGCAGACTATACAGGGAGCTTCAGATGACCAAAGGTAAAGCTATAGGAAGCTATAGCAAGCTGGCTAAAGAGACCCATTGGGCTAGCCACAAAAATCTATAGCAGGCCATACATGGAGCTATAGATGGCTAAAGAAGCCAAAGGCAAACCTATAGGCAGCTATAGCACACTGGCTAAACAGACCCATAAAGCAAGCCATAGAAATATCTATAGCAGGCCATACAGAGAGCTACAAGTAACCAAAGAAACCAAAGGAAAAGTTCTAAGAAGCTATAGCAAGCTGACTAAAGAGACCCATTGGGCTAGCCATAGAAATCTCTATAGCAGACCATACAGGGAGCTACAGAAAACCAAAGGAAAAGCTATAAGAAGCCATAGCAAGCTGGCTAAAGAGACCCATAGGGCAAGACATAGAAATGTCTATAGCAGGTCATACAGGGAGCTACAGAAAACCAAAGAAACCAAAGGGAAAGCTATAAGAAGCTATAGCAAGCTGGCTAAACAGACCCATAGGGCAAGCCATAGGAATATCTATAGCAGACCATACAGGGAGCTACAGAAAACCAAAGAAACCAAAGGAAAAGCTATAAGAAGCCATAGCAAGCTGGCTAAAGAGACCCATAGGGCAAGACATAGAAATGTCTATAGCAGACCATACAGGGAGCTACAGGAAACCAAAGAAACCAAAGGGAAATCTATAAGAAGCTATAGCAGACTGGCTAAACAGACCCATAGGGCGAGACATAGAAATATCTATAGCAGACCATACAGGGAGCTACAGAAAACCAAAGAAACCAAAGGAAAAGCTATAAGAAGCTATAGCAAGCTGGCTAAAGAGACCCATAGGGCGAGACATAGAAATATATATAGCAGACCATACAGGGAGCTACAGAAAACCAAAGAAACCAAAGGAAAAGCTATAAGAAGCCATAGCAAGCTGGCTAAAGAGACCCATAGGGCGAGACATAGAAATATCTATAGCAGACCATACAGGGAGCTACAGAAAACCAAAGAAACCAAAGGAAAAGCTATAAGAAGCCATAGCCAGCTGGCTAAAGAGACCCATAGGGCAAGACATAGAAATGTCTATAGCAGACCATACAGGGAGCTACAGAAAACCAAAGAAACCAAAGGGAAATCTATAAGAAGCTATAGCAGGCTGGCTAAAGAGACCCATAGGGTGAGACATAGAAATATCTATAGCAGACCATACAGGGAGCTACAGAAAACCAAATAAACCAAAGGAAAAGCTATAAGAAGCTATAGCAAGCTGGTTAAAGAGACCCATAGGGCGAGACATAGAAATATCTACAGCAGACCATACAGGGATCTGCAGGAAACCAAAAAAACCAAAGGAAAAGCTATAAGAAGTTATAGCAAGCTGGCTAAAGAGACCCATAGGGCGAGACATAGAAATATCTATAGCAGACCATACAGGGAGCTACAGAAAACTAAAGAAACCAAAGGAAAAGCTATAAGAAGCCATAGCAAGCTGGCTAAAGAGACCCATAGGGCAAGACATAGAAATGTCTATAGCAGACCATACAGGGAGCTACAGAAAACCAAAGAAACCAAAGGGAAATCTATAAGAAGCTATAGCAGGCTGGCTAAACAGACCCATAGGGCAAGACATAGAAATGTCTATAGCAGACCATACAGGGAGCTACAGAAAACCAAAGAAACCAAAGGGAAATCTATAAGAAGCTATAGCAGGCTGGCTAAACAGACCCATAGGGCAAGCCATAGGAACATCTATAGCAGACCATACAGGGAGCTACAGAAACCAAAGGAAAAGCTATGAGAAGCTATAGCAAGCTGGCTAAAGGAACCCATAGAGCAAGCCATAGTAATCTCTATAGGTGACCATACATTGAGCTATAGGTGGCTAAAGAAACCAAAGGAAAAGCTATAGGAAGCTATAACAAGATTGCTAAAGAGACCTATAGAGAAAGTCATAGTAATCTCTATAGGCGTCCATATATTGACCTATAGCCGGCTAAAGAAACCAAAGGGAGAGGAAGCTATAGCACGCTGGCTAAAGAAACCCAAAGGGGAAGCTATACAGGGGTCTTTAGCAAACCATTCAGAAAGCTATAGACTTCTGTAGCTAGCTAGTGAGAACCATAGGAAAAGCTAAAGGCACCCATAGGCACGACTGTAGAATGAGCTAAAGACACCCATAGAGGTGGCTATAGCTAATTGGGCCAATTTTCTATAGCCAGCCATACAAAGGATTTTCTATAGCCGACCATAGATCCATAGCGTAAGCCATACAGATCTCTATAGCAGACCATACAAGAAGGTATAGACGGCTAAAGGAACCAAAGCAAAAGCCGTAGGTGGCTATAGCGTCCTTTCTAAAGACACCCATAGAGTCTATGAGTCTCTTTAGAAAGAGGCTATAGACAGCCATAGGGGACACCATAGGAGAAGCTATAGACAGCTATAAAAACGGCTATAGCTATTTGGGCCAATTTTCTATAGCCGGCCATACAAAGATTTTCTATAGCCGACCATAGACCATTTTTGTATGGGATGAAGCCTTCAGCTGAGACGGGTTAGCCCT